TATTTATAAGAAAAATTATATACAAGTAAGAGAAAATAGACTATTGAAAGTTATTTAAAGTTCAATAAGAGTTTAAGCTTTCTTTCTTCAAGTTTAGCACACCCTTCTTGATTTTTTTTTAACTTAAACCCTAGACATGATGTTATGAGGAACGCAACTAGGTTGAATCACCATAAAGAAATAAGGGGAACACAAGCAGGTTAAAGAAAAAAGAAGAATGGAAAACGAGGACATCATAATAGAAAATGAGAGTGAGATAGAAAACGAAATTGACCGACAAGGTATGTCCTCCAAGATTCTTTAATTTTTGATTTTTTTAAATTATTAAAATGAATTACTTAATGTGATTATATCCCCATAATTGTTTTAAAATTATTTATAATGAATTACAAAGCTCAATTTTTTACATCAATTAATATGAATTTTTTTTCAACGAGAAAAGTTTTTAAAATTTTTTTTAACTTCTTATGTAATTAAATTTTTATTTACATTATTATTTATAGATTAAATTTTAATATTTTAAAAATAAGTTACCAATAAAAAAAATATTAAATTATAATTTGGAAGTTAAAACTTTAAAGGAATAGTCTTGAAAATGATTTTAAAATTAGATTACAAAATCAATAAGATCTTAAATTTACTTTCAAATTAAATGTAAATTTAAGCTAAATGAAAGGTGACAAAATATTTTGAACTTTCTTCTTATAAAATGCTCCACATATTTTTTTTATCACAAATATTTTTCTCATTTTTCTTGTATTTATCTTTTCTATTTCTTTTCTCTTTTTCTTTTACATTTTTGCTTTCCTTTCTTTTGGAGCAACTTTTGTGATTATTTTTCTCTTGTTTTAGTTACGGTAAATTTGTCACAAAATTTTCAAAGATAAAAAACTCAAAATTGCAAAAATTTTTAGAAATAGAAAGTTTTAAAATGACTAAAAAAAATTGGTGGAGAATTTTGTAACTACTCTTGCTTTCACTTAGGCCTATATTTTGGAAACTTTTTAAACTTCAAAAAGTAACTTCAAACATCTTTTTGTTGTAACTGCAAAAGTTTAAAAGATTCACCAAAATTTGAACTCAAATTAAATCACAAAAAATTGGAGAAAACAAAAAATAGTGAAAAGTATAAGACATGGAAGCCTAACTTTTTAGGAACATGTTAACGAACTAATAACATGCATGAACTCAAATATTATAAGAAAAAAGCACATAATATGATTTGGTCTAGCATCTTATAACAGGTGTTTTCAAGATTCAAAAATCAAAATAGACAACTAGAAGTGTTGATATACCAAAACTACACATGACTTCTAAGACACATGAATTTGCATAGATTTCAAAATAAAACTCCTATATACTACACAAATTTTATATCATGCTTCAAACACAACATCATACATCAAAACATAGAGGAAAGTTCATAGAACAAGAATCCTAAGATCATACAAAGAGATTTGGTTCATAAAATACTAGAACTAAAAAAATTTGAACCAAAATTTTCAAGATAATTATAGATCTATCAAATAGCATACAAACACTACTCAAGACATATAAGAACTATTGGATAACATAAAAATATGATAGAAAAACCTCCATGGATGACCATAGGCTATGATACCAAGTAGATGAAACTATTGGAGGAGAAACTTGGTGTATCTTTTCAATTAGTTATATTGATGCTACAACCATGGAATTCATAACTCCAAAGCAAACTTGAAAACGATTGAAGAGACAAGAGGAGGATGCACCACTTCATTAGGAAGAAAAGTAAGAATCGAAGAACTTGCCATAAGGAGGAATTCCTTGATAAAAGTTCATAAGGAGAAAGTTTGCCAAGGAGAAAACTAAGCATTCTACTTTTTTTTTCTTTGCATTTCTTTTCTTACACCTATTTATTGATCTCATTCAAAATAAAATAATAAATAATTTGATTTCAAAAATTAAATTAACATAAAGTTGTTAATTGAATAATTAATATTTTTTTCCTAAATTGAAAGATAAAGTAGATGGGTGAAGTCGATCTATCGAAGAACTTGCCATAAGGAGGAATTCCTTGATAAAAGTTCATAAGGAGAAAGTTTGCCAAGGAGAAAACTAAGAGCTTTTGGGAGAGAAATTTGCAACTCAATTTCTTATTCAATTAAAAGTGGTTGAATATGTGTAGGGAGATTCAATTTATAGAGTTTGCTAGCTTGTGATGCAAGTTAAGCTAATCATGGTTACATGTAACATAGATTAAGTTAACTTATACTCAAAACTACCAACTCTAGTTACAATTTAAAACTTGAATTTCTCTCATAAAAAATCTCACTATCTTAAATCTAGAGGAGTCAATAGAAGCATGCATGTGACAAGGTGCAAGAAGTGTGACTCGTGTCAACATCCTAGATTTAGAAGAGTCAATGGGGGTTTGTCACCTGGCAAGGTGCTAAAAGTGTTACTAAAGGTGACACGTGACTTATTGAAGTTTAAATGGTCATAAAAACATATTATCTACAAAGTGGGCGTCCCACATGTTGGACTACACGTTCAAACTTGTTCTCATGGATCATTCAAGCCTAATAAACACATCTCATTTTCTAGTTACATCCCCTTAAAATATTATTCACACCCCTAAAATTAAAAACAAAATTACAAGGAAATAATTTTCTATACCAATTGATCGAAAAATACAAGTTCAGAAATAAAAAATATTTATAAGAAAAATTATATACAAGTAAGAGAAAATAGACTATTGAAAGTTATTTAAAGTTCAATAAGAGTTTGAGCTTTCTTTCTTCAAGTTTAGCACACCCTTCTTGATTTTTTTTTAAGTTAACCCCTAGACATGATGTTATGAGGAACGCAACTAAGTTGAATCTCCATAAAGAAATAAGGGGAACACAAGCAGGTTAAAGATAAAAAGAAGAATGGAAAACAAGGACATCATAATAGAAAATGAGAGTGAGATGGAAAATGAAATTGACTCACAAGGTATGTCCTCCAAGATTCTTTAGTTTTTGATTTTTTAAAATTATTAAAATGAATTTCTTAATGTGATTATATCCCCATAATTGTTTTAAAATTATTTATAATGAATTACAAAGCTCAATTTTTTACATCAATTAAAATACAATAAATAAAAAAAATGCTCACTCGAATGGCTTTTGTCTTCATGTGGATAAAAAAAGACAATTCAAGAACTATACCGTTTTAAATTGATAGCAGTGGAGTGACTTTTGATTCAATAGAGTTTAGGATAAATTGAGAAATACAATATTAAATGAAAAGACGATAGTGTATTCTAACTAATTTTCACAAATAAATCTATGAGATTATCAGTAAAATAGTAAAATAGTTCATTGAGACTTAATCATTATTAGGGATAACAATAAATTCATATTGATAAATAATATTTAAACTCATTCTAACTTTAACACAAAATATTCAGTTTGATCGAATATAAATATAATAATATTTAATTAATTAAATTAGGTACAATATATATATATATATATATATAT